TCTCTGCTCCCTCTGCCTGGCCCCACATCCACATCCCAGCCTCCACGGAGCCTGACACTCCTCACCTCCTCCCCCGCAACTTCTCTCTACAGCTCTTACCACTGACATTTAACACCTTTTACCTACTAACTTTTCATGCTCTCCTTCTCATCCACTAGAAAATAAACTCCACGAAGACAGAAATATCTGTCTGGTCTATCCACTGCTGTACCCCTAGAGCCTAGAATAGTGAATGGTACAGAATGAGCATTTCATCACTACTTTTCGAATGAATGAATGCATTTCTGGAAGATGCACTGACGAGCACTGCACCCCCTGTCCTAACAGGATTGCTAAAGGGTCATTAGTACAAAACACTCAAAAACGACAAATCCTTTGGCAAACTCATGGAGGACTTGTATAATCTCTCAGGCCAGGGCTGTATCTTAGGAGCATGGCCAAGACCGAAGCTCCCAAAGCTAGGTGACGGTCAAGCCCTTTGAGGTCTCGGCTGTGCCGTCTTCTCACGGTGGGGCACATCGGGGATCTAGAGATGAGGGTCTCTCTGGGAGCAGGGAGGTCCACTCTCGTGAGTGGAGGGATACTGAGGCTCAAGGGCCAGAGGGCTTGCCGCCCTTTCCGCAAAATTCATTCTGGAGGCAGAGGCAGCCTCGGATACAGAGAGGACTGCCCAAAATGCAAGCCTTGCTGTAAAGTTGCAAAGAAGAAAGAGGAGGTTCAGGTTCTCAGACCGATGACGAGACACGTCAAGGTGGGAAGGGCACTTACTACGGACAGAAGCAATTTCAATTCTAACCTGTTCTGCTTTGAGAGGCGCCTGTGGCTGTGGCGTGAGTCTTCTCTGGTTCCTTCTGTTCTATGATGACCCCAAGACCCACCCGTGTATAAGCGTCAGTGAGAAGAACTACATCTTGTCATCCCTCAACCAGCAGCAGGTAGGACACGGACGCTCCACGGTGGCAGCTCCCAGATTCTGTGCCCAAAGAAACCGCGTTCCAGCTTCTCCTAATGGGCTGACAGTCAACGTTTCGTTGTTGTTGCTGTTTTTTCCCAGAGCAGCTCAAGAACACGGTCTCTGCCGATCAAGGCTATGATTAAGTCTCTCCCACTCTGGGCCATTGTTTTCGGTTCTTTTGCTTTCCACTGGACAAACAACATCGTGCTTTTCTACACCCCGACGTTTGTCGACTCCAACCTTCATGTGAATGTAAAAGAGGTAAGGACACCTTTCCTCTCCTTTTAACTTTATGAAACTTCTCATGACTCTAGTCCTAGCTCTTGGCCTCTCTACACTGTGTAGCTGATGCTCTGCACCTGGAGACTCACTGTTTCCACTTTTTCTGTCACCATTTCCCAGAACAAAAGGTGTAGGCACCGTGTCTGGCCTCCGCAAAACACAGTCCTGTTCCCGTAGTGCCTTTCCCCACCATTCACTGTATGTATTATTGTCCTGCTGTAGTAGTCAAGGCTCAACACCATCGTTCCCTACAGGGACTCATCCTCCTCTCCACCGTGCCCAGTCACACCCATCCTATTTCTTGGAACAAGGTAATGAGTCCCGGGCTGAGAACCCATGACTCAGCTCTTGCTTTGAAATGACGGGCTCTCTCATTGCTTGTCTGACTTGGAGAATCACTGATGCCTGGAACCTTATGTCTGATGCCATGGTAACCAGAAAAGACTCCCATAGAAATGGAATGCCCAAAGTGGCATTCTGCAGTGAATCTCCAGGAACCCAGCCTAGGGGCCAACATGACAGTGAGGTCATTTAAGCTCTTTCTGATTCAATTTTGCCCTCCACGAGACCATGAAGGGGTTGAAAGAATTAATAGCAACGATCCAGAGTAAGCACCAGATAAATGTTTGTAATTGTTATCATCACTCTTTCTCCCCCGAGCCAGCTGTCCCCATTCCCAAGTGTAGTCTTCATCTCTATTATCCAGAACTTTCAGTTCCCATGACACTACCAATAGAAAACTAGACATACTGTGACAACCGTTTTTTATTTATTTATTTACTGGAGTGAGAGAGAGTGTGAGCGCACGAGCAGGGAGAGGGGAGAGGGGCAGAGGGAGAGTGAGAATCCCAAGCAATCCTCACTCAGTGCAGAACCTGATGTGGGGCTCGACTGCACAACCCTGGGATCGTGACCTGAGCCAAAATTAAGGGTCGGACACTCATCTGACCAAGACACCCCGTGACAACTATGTCTGACCTCAAGGCTATTTTCCTCTTTCTTTTGGGTGGTGTGGCCCCAAGTCAGAATTCTGTGGTTGTATGTTGATGGTGTCTCCTATGGCAATACAGATGTTCAGTACTGAACTTCAGTGTAGGGATGGCTCTGGCTACCGGACTCATCCTTCCGATGACATTTTCTCAGAATGGGCTGCTGTCAGCCTTCCCCTATTTGTTTGCGTGGAGCTTTGGTATCCTGGCAGGTCACGCTGCAGACTTCTTCCTGTCCAGGAATATTCTCCGCCTCAATAGCATCCGGAAGCTCTTCAGCACACTAGGTAAGGAACAGCCAGGACATTCAAGCACTTTGAGTCACTTCACCCCATCTTCGGGACGCCCCTAATTGTGTTGTCTGGATGGCTCCCCAGGACTCTTCCTGCCTCCCTTCTTCGGTCTGTGCCTGGTTCACCTGAGTTTCACCTTCTACAGCACCATCGTTTTCCTGATACTTACTGGTTCCACAGGAAGCTTTTGTATGGCCGGACTACTTATAAATGTCTTGGATATTGCTCCCAGGTATGGTGGTAAACATCTCTTTCTTGTATCCAAGCTCTCCAGGGCGCTTTAAGATTTCCACCGTGTTGTGAGTTCATGGCCGGCAGGCCAAAATGCTTCCCAAAGAAGCATCAGTATAGTTCAGAAATCTCCTCTAAGTAATAATTATGTGCCTAATGATATATTAATGTGTGCAACTCTTATGTGTATGAAGTGTAGCCCAGTGATTCATAGCACAGGTTCTAAAGTCGGAAGGTTCGGTTTCAATAATAGCGTGAACACGCCGCTCAAGCAACCTGCTTACCTTCTCTGTGCCTACTTCACATCTACAAAACGGGGGTAATAAGAGAATGTGGACCTCATAGGGTTATTAGAGGATTAAATAAGTTAACAGGTCAAATACACAGAAGAGCGCCGGGCACACAGCAAGCACCGCATAAAGGTTAGTTGCTCCGCTGTCGTTGTTAGTGTATGCATGTTTATATATTATGAATCTTCGTGACAACCCCCCAGTTAGTAAACATACTTATTTAACAACCAAGGAAACTGAGGGTCAGATACTTGTCCGTCTAAGACCTCATCACTGGTTTGGGATCTTACTTAGGATTTGAATCCAGATCCGTCTAGCAAGATCTTTTTGCTCTCTTTACTGTTCCGCCTTTTAATGGCATTTAGTTTAACTTAAATTTTTTATTTAAAAATTTTTTAATGTTTATGTTTTTTTTTTTTTTGAGAGAGAGAGAGAGAGAGAGAGAGAGAGACAGAGTGTGAAGCAGGCTCCAGGCTCCAAGCTGTCAGCACAGAGTCTGACACGGGGCCTGACCTCACAAACTGTGAGATCATGACCCGAGCCGAAGTCAGATACTTCACTGCCTGAGCCACCCAGGGTCCCCAGTTCTGCCCTTGTTGAAGATACACTAAGTGTGACTGATGGCAGCAGTTCTGCCATTTGCACAGCTCCAGGGGGCGCTGTCTACATCGTACTTTGCGGGGCTAGTAGTCCCTGGGGAACTTAGATCCACTATGAACACGATTCTCTGAAGTTTAGTAAAGCAGGGGCCGTGGGGGTAGAGATGCAAAATCAACAAAAATAATCCACTTGGCAACTCCTACAAAGAACCTCGTCCATCATATCTACACAAGGTGAGCGTCAGAGTAATGAGGACATGTATCCATTTGTTTTATTCAGTTCCAAGACCCTCCTTAAAAATGCCCACAGGTGTTCTGATCACCTGGAGTTGTATAAAAACGTGTAAGGATTATTTGATATAGAAAGCACCATGTCAACTGAGCCATATGCACTTTGAGGTCAAGAATGAGAAAGGAGGGGCGCCTGGGTGGCTCAGTCGGTTAAACGTCCGATTTCGGCTCGGGTCATGATCTCACGGTTCATGGGATCGAGCCCCACATCGGGGTCTGTGCTGACAGCTCAGAGCCTGGAGCCTGCTTCGGATTCTGTGTCTCCCTCTCTCTGCCCCTCTCCCACTTGTGCTCTCTCTCAAAAACAAATAAACATTAAAAGAAAAACCAAAAAGAATGAGAAAGGAAATTATAAATAGTAGCATTTCTTGAGTATTTTCCATGTGCCCATCATGCCGCAATGTGAATGAGATCATGTTATCCACATGAGTGTGGGCGAGGAAACAAAAGAGCAGGGTAAGGAATTTATGTTAAGTCATACAGCAATAAGGACGGAGGGTGCATACCTACATACATCTGCTTCCAAAGTGGACCAGCTGTAGTCACTCCCTCAACAGTGCCAGTCGCTAGCATCTGCTCAGTAGGACCTGAAATATCTCAACCAGCAGGGGCTGGGGTAACACAGCACTTGGCCTGAGTTTCACTGTTCCAATGGACCCAAACTCCAGGTCGGCCAGCTAATTTTGTAGAGTCGGGGAGAATAAATATCCTAATACACAAACTAGAAACAATTCTCAGTCTCTTAAGCTAGGTCATCCTCGGTCTTTAGGGCATATGTGCATTATAGCTCAACCATATCAATGTGTAGGGCTTAATCGCCTTTTACTAATGGGATGGAGACCAAACTTACTTAAAGCAGAATGTTCCTAATCATATACTTCTCTTGCCTATTAGAGAGAGTTCTCTTAGCAGATACAGTTCTGAATTGTCCTCTCGGGGAAATTTGGTCTTTGTTAGAACTGAAGAGTAGTGCAGGGATTATACAGGTTGGAGCAGAACAAAGGTGGTGGGGAAGAAAGTTCTGGAAGGAAGCAGAAACACACACATGTGGTTTTGTGAGAGTACTGTTTGGAAACTAGGATTGAGTGAGACAGAGAAGACCTAAGAATGTAGTGGCCACTATTGCTTATGGTGGGTACCAAGAGTAGAAAAGCCCAGAGAATTAGAAAGATGTTCTGTGATGCATTAAGAAGAAACTGTCATTGCCTTGACATTCTTAAAAGAAGGCTCCAAAAAAGATTTGAATTACTTTAAATTATTATTTTTCAAATAATTTTTTAAAATGTTTGTTTAGTTTTGAAAGACAGAGAGAGAGAGAGACAGAGAGACAGAGTGTAAGCAGGGGAAGGACAGAGAGAGAGGGAGCCACAGAATGCAAAGCAGGCTCCAAGCTTCGAGCTGTCAGCACAGAGCCCGACCCGGGGCTCGAACTCACAAACTGTGAGATCATGACCTGGGCCGAAGTCCAATGCTTAACTGACCGAGCCACCCAGGAGCCCCCACTTTTAATTATTTTTGACTGGATGGATTGTGCACCCCCTCCGTGTGGGTCTCAACTGTAGTTCAGGTATTGGAATATTATTTGGGCTCTACTAAATCATAGTACGCCAAAATATAAAACGGATAAAATTGAAAGTCTCCTTCAGTGGCTATTTAAATTTCCAAAATGCTTTTTACCCCAGACTGTTGCAGCTGAGGAATGAGCAAATGTAGAGCAGACTGTTGTCCAGAAGATTATCCTGCGTTACAGCAACCTCCAGGTTGTTTTCATTCCTCATGTCAAATAGCTACTGTTTGAGGATTGAACGGCATGAGGATTAGAGCATCACACGTTCTCCCCTTGCCACTCTCAGATCAAAAGAACCATCCGTTCCATCATATGGATGGGTTCATGGTTTTCAGAGGAATTGTCAAGGCATTCAGGATCTTGACACTGAAGATTCTGTTTATTTCTTCAACTATGGAATTAAATCACCTCTCTTAGTACAAATAGGTCACATCCTTTCCCCGGTAACAACATGCTAAAGACTTCTGCATCTGGGAGAACACAGTCGTCAAAGATGTCCTAGTTACCGAAGAGATAACAGGACAAATATAAAGAAAATCTCTCCTACACTTGTCATAGTAAAAGTACCAAAACCAGAAAGGTGGGGAGGGAGAAACAGAGATCTCTTAAAAACAGCCAAGTGCAAAAGGCACGTTGCTTTCAAAGAAGAAATAATAAGACTGGCAGCTTCTGAACAGGAACGATGAAAGCTAGAAACGAATCTCAAATAGGTAAAAAAAAAAATAATTAAATAAACTAAAATCACTGTTAACTAGAAATCTATCTTCAGCAACAATTCCTTCAAGAATTAAGGTAAGATAAAAATATTTTCAGGCAAATTATGAGAATTCACCAGCGACAGACACCCAATGAAAACTTATTAAATGGGAATTCTTTGGACAGAAGAAAAATAATCACAGATGAAGCATAGAAATATGGAATGAAGAAAGAGAGATAGAGAGGAAAAAATAAAATAAATCCAATAATTATTGAATTCACAAAAGACAATACCATTAGGGTATAAAAATATGTAAATTAAAATGCACAACAATGAACAGCACAAAAGATAAAAAGGCACAAATGAATATGTGAATACGTGTTCTAAGATGTTTTCATTAATGGGAATTTGCAAGACTATTCATTTATATTAGACTAAAATAAGTCAAGAATATATATTTTAATCTCTAGGGTAACTACTGAAGGAAAATAATGATGTAAAGGAAATGTTTTTAAAAAACAATGAAGGGGCGCCTGGGTGGCGCAGTCGGTTAAGCGTCCGACTTCAGCCAGGTCACAATCTCGCGGTCTGTGAGTTTGAGCCCCGCATCAGGCTCTGGGCTGATGGCTCAGAGCCTGGAGCCTGTTTCCAATTCTGTGTCTCCCTCTCTCTCTGCCCCTCCCCCATTCATGCTCTGTCTCTCTCTGTCCCAAAAATAAATAAACATTGAAAAAAAAAAATTTTTTTAAAAAATAAAAAAAAAAAAAAAAAAAAAAATAAAAAACAATGAAAAAGAAGTAAAGAGTAAAGTTTAAAAAGGAACATAAAATTGGTGGGAAAAAGAATGATGATCATTTTAAGTCAAATGTATCAGAAAAAAAAAACCATAAAATATAAAAGGACTATATGTTCCAAATTAACTTAATCTGGATTAAAATAAAAACAAAACCAAAATATAATAGATTAAAAGCAAAATCAAGGAAAACAGATCAGCCAAAGTAGACTTTAAGTCAAGATGCATTACTAGAAATAAGAATTTTTAATGATTATTTCAATTCACTAGAAGATATAAGTTTCTAAGTAAGTTTCTATGCACCCAACATTGTACAACTGCAAAGCAAAATTTGAGAAAACTGTTCAACTTCCACACAGGATTGAGCAGCTGTGGATGACTGACATTCCAGGTGGGAAACCTTTGAAAAGGCCAAATAAAGTACCAAAAGTAGGGACGCCTGTCTGGCTCAGTCAGTAGGGTGTGCGACTCTTGATCTTGGGGTTGTAGGTTCGAGCCCCATGTAGGGTGTAGAGATTACTTGAAAAAAAAAAATCTTTAAAAGACATAGCAAAAACAGTCATTAAAAGACATCAGGCTGCAGCAGAGGCCAATAAGACCAAAAACACAAGGGGACGGCACCTCTGAGGTGAGCGGACAGTTCCTGCCACTTTTTTCTTGGGGTCATGTGCCAATTGGCAAATGGCTAATAATCCAGGTTTGGCCCTGGGAGGAGGCTGCTTCTCTGGATAGAGAGATTAGCCAAGCTTCCAGGTGCATGGGCTGGAGCGACAACATTGGAAATTAAGAGAATTTGAACATAAAGTCACTTTCTCTCCTTGAGATATTTGTTGAATTCTGAAGTTCGACAGGGCAAGTGGCAGAATTTCCTATACTATCTGTACAAAGGAGACAAGATCTACCAAAGCCTGGAGGGCCCCGGCCAAATATACTGAACTCTCCATGTAACAACATGGAGTGCAATACCTAGGGGGTTTCTAGAGGTAAACTGACTCTTGCCAACAGTGGAACCTAGCCTCATCTTACTTCATTCCCTAATTAGATTAGTGATGTATTCTCTCCTCTCCAAATCTAGTACAGAGAACAGTGAATCTTTTCTTGAAAAGTATGACATATTCTTGGAGTCCCTACAGCTCTTATTCACAATGCCCAGCATTTAATAAAAAATTACTAGGCATGACAAGGGATAGGGCCATGTGATCAGTAACCATAAATGCATCAGAAATAGTCCTACCACTGATACAGATATTAAAGTTATCAGGTGAGAAGAACTTTGCAATAGCTGTGATGAATATACCAAGAAACCAGGGGGGAAAGCTGAAGAAAAGAGATGAAAAGATAAAGAATTTGACCAGCAATGGAATCTATAAAAACAATCAAATGGAAGTTTGAGAGCTGAAGAATAAAATGTCTGCAATTAAAATCTTAATAGATAGGGTTTTTTAAAATTTTTTTATTGTTTTTTTTTTTATTTTTTTTTTGAGTGGGAGAGAGAGACAGAGAGCAAGCAGGGAAGGGGCAGAGAGAGGGAGAACCAGAATCGGAAGCAGGCTCCAGGCTCTGAGCTCTCAGGACAGAGCCTGATGCGGGGCTTGAACTCACAGATTGCAAGATCATGACCTGAACTGTAGTTGGCCGCCCAACTGACTGAGCCACCCAGGCGCCCCAATAGATAGGTTTAATGACAAATTAGCCACAAAGAGAAGACAGGATTGGTATATAGGAAGGTGTATCATAGGAAATATCCAAACTCAAATATACAGGAAAAAAAAAAAGAGAATAAACGGAAATGTGGAATGAAGTAAAAAGGGTAACAAATCTGTACTTGAGTCTCAGAAGGAAAGGAGAAATAAAATGGGACATAAGCCATATTTTATGAGAAAACAGCCCCAAATAATATTAAAGTAATGAAAGATGGTAAACCACACGTGCACAAAGCTCTGTGAATTTCAACCATGTGACATGTAAATTATAATATACACATTAAGAATGCCAAAAACCAAAGACAAAGAAAAAAATCTTAAAAGGAACTAGAGAGAAAAGGCATGTTACTTTCAAGTAGCACAATATTAAGCCTGACCTCTGGTTTCAACAGAAACCATGAAATCCAGAGGTAATGAGATGAGCTCTATAAAGTGCTAAAAGAAATAAATGTCAGCCTAGAATTTTTTTTTTTTAAATTTTTTTTCCAACGTTTATTTATTTTTGGGACAGAGAGAGACAGAGCATGAACGGGGGAGGGGCAGAGAGCGAGGGAGACACAGAATCGGAAACAGGCTCCAGGCTCTGAGCCATCAGCCCAGAGCCCGACGCGGGGCTCGAACTCACGGACCGCGAGATCGTGACCTGGCTGAAGTCGGACGCTTAACCGACTGCGCCACCCAGGCGCCCCAGCCTAGAATTTTCTACCTAGTGAAAACACTCTTCGAAAGTCAAAGCAAAATAAAAATGTTTTCAGACAGAGAAATTGTCACCAGTGGATGTTCACTAAAAGAGATACCAAAAGAATATTTTCAGGTAAAAAGAAATTATCCCTATTGAAACCTGATTGTGCAAGGACAATTCAGGAGCGACAAGGGGGTAAATATGTGTGTAATTATAGAGACCACTGATTTGCAAAACAGTAGAGAATACCTTGTGAGTTGAAATGCACATCAAACCAAACTGCATTAAGGAATTAAAATACAGGATACAACAATGCAAAGAGGGAGATGCACAGAAATGTTAAAATCTTAAAATCTTAAAAATGTTCTAAGCTTCCGGTGTTGTAGAGAAAAGAGTAAAAGTATAATTCATACTACAGTGAAAAGGACATGCTATAATATCTTCAGTGCTTGCAAACAACAGTGAAATACTGTCATAGACGGAAAAAATAAAACCGATGAATCTAGAAGAAAGAAAAAGTGGAATGTGAAAGCGGACGTCAAAAAGAAAATAGTGAAGAGATAAAGACAGTCTTAAGTATATCAGTTATTGTATTAGACCAATATGGATGAAATATTCCAAGTGAGTATCAAGACTGTCCAGCTCAATGATAAAGGACACTGTAGCCTGCTACAAATAAAACATGCAATAAACATGAGGACATAGCACGGATGCAATTAAAGGATATAGAGAGGTATCCCACGCAAATATTAACCAAAAGAAACTTGAAACAACTATGCTAGTATCGGAAAAAGTGGAACACTACTAGAAATAAAGTGTTAGTTCACAATGGTGAAGAGAAAAATATCAGAATTATACCTCTGAATCCAAGAATACAGCCTTAATTTATGTTCAGTACAAACAGAGAGGACTCAAAGAGCTAGACAAACATACCACGGAGGGAGAAATTTTCATAACCTCTTTGAACAGCTTGTACAAAATATGAGGGAGACACGAAGTTAGTAAGGACGTGGACGACTAGAATGACAAGAACAAAATGTGACGGGCTTGACCTAATTGACGAATATGGAACACGACACTGTGCTCAACGAGGAGAGGATCCCAATTATTTTCAGTTGCCTACAGGACAGTTACTGAAACTGACAATATGCTGGGTCATAAAGCGAGCTGCAATTAATTTAAAACGATTGAAATCATTCAGAAGAGTAACACCTTGGACTGCGAGTAACTTGTCCTGTGAGTGTTCTGCAGGACAAGCAAACATTTCTAATAAATTTTAACTTGATAAACGAGCGACATCTTGCAATACGAGTTGTACATGAGGCCAAATGTCACCTGATCACAACTGAGCCAACGGTTCTTGAAATTAACTCTGATATACACGTGCTTTCAATTACAAGGATGTTTCTGGAACGAATTATGCTCACATACCAAGGTTTTACTGTATATTCTTAGATCACAGTGAATTAAGGTTGCCATCAAAAGTAAATGACACATAACCTATTGCTTTCTTTTTTTTTTTTTTATTTATTTTTGGGACAGAGAGAGACAGAGCATGAAACGGGGAGAGAGCAGAGAGGAGACACAGAATGAGGAAGACCAGGCTGAGCCACAGCCCAGACGCCTGACGCCGGCGTACAACTCCCGACCGCTGAAGATCGGGACCTGGCTGAGAAATTGATGACAACGACTGCGCCACCCAGGCGCCCCACCTATTGCTTTCAAATTAATGTCTGAGTTAAAGAAGAAATCACAGTTGGAATTAGAAAATACTTTCACTAAATTATAATGAAATAGGACATTTCAAAGTATGTGGGATGGTTTTAAAATCATGCCCAGAGAGACATGTATAGCTTTAAACATATACATCGAAAGACAGTTAAGTCTTCAAATCAGTAATCATGTTTTGATCTCAAGTAGCCAGGAAAAAAGGAGCAAATTTAACCCTCCCCCCAAATTATGAAGATTAGGGGGAAAAAAGTCATAACATAAAATCGATAATGTCACAGGTTGGTTCTTTGGGAATTAATAAAATTGATAAAATAATGAAGGCTGATTAAGAAAAATAAAGAGAAAAATGGTCAAACGAGTAACATCAAAGTGTGCATTATGGTAAGTCACAGCATATAAAAAGGAAATCATATTATGGACAACTTCATGTCAGTAAATCTGACAATTAGATGACACTGAAAAGTTCTTCAACACACACACACAGTCATAAAATATAATTTTTAATATCGTTATGGGGAGAGGGGCTCATGAAGGCAAATGTGACAAAGGCCCACAAAAGTCCTCAGTGGCCCAATTCCCACAAAGACCTTAGGGGTCCTACCGCTAAAATGAAAAAGGGAACTCTACCTTCCGGGGACAGTTGGAGGTCTCTGCCCTGATCTGCACCTGTGGTTGCTCACGATCATAAATGTTCTTCTTTACACATTAGGACACACCCTCTAGCTCCCCCGAAAAAGCAAATCAAATTTGCACCCAGTGACTGCCTACGGCTGCTTGCAGAGACTCTGGGTCCCTAGGTGATGCCTCTCTTAAGACACAGAAACTAACAGACCAACTACACACAGCCTCCCACATGTGAAGGCAGAGGAGGAATAAAATAGACCCAGGGACACAAAATCAAATGGACAGAACAAAGCAAACAGAAAACCCTCACTCTCAGAAAAAGGAAGAACACACAGAACCTCTAATGGTGAAATCTGTTAGGCAGGAAAGGTCTGGTGACCTTCTCCCCATCCTGGAGAGAACTCATTTCTCGGTAAGACACTGATTCCGCTCTCTGAAAGGCACTTCCTTGTGCTCTGTGGATTGACAGATAGATTTGACCCCTAGTCTACTGATCGTTCTCTGGGGCTTCCCTGCTTTTGTAGTTGACTTGTGGCAGAGCTGGGTCTGGGTACCCGGGACTGGCCAAGCACTGTTGTTTGGAAACTAGCTTCTGCCCTCCTTGTCTGAGGACTGGAGCAGTCGCTGGGGCCAGGATCTGGGACTGTGGCAACAGGCCAGGTGAATAGAGTCCTTCGATTCTGTATTAACCCTAAACCGGTTTCTATTGCCAATAAACATCACTTTCCAAATTTCTCAACTGTATTTACAGATTTCCTAACCCTGCTGGCTGTCACTCTATATGGTCTCATTTTCTCAATCTCTTAAAAAGCCAACTTTTCTGACTTTGTGCTGTAACCGGAAAGTTAATTATATCGGCATACTTTTTTGACATTTTAATGGAATTTGAGGAGGAGAGGAATGAAAAATTCAGGAAATAAACAGTTAGCTCTCTTAAACCTCATTTCATTAGGCTGGCTTTTCCTGTAGTGTTTGTACGACTTTACATCTGTGTTTTGTCGTTCTTTTTCGCACAGTTATTATGGATTTCTTAAGGGAGTTACAAATGTAATTGGAATGATAGGAGGACTAATTTCTTCCATTCTGTGTGGAATGATCCTGAATGAGGTAAGGAGCGTTCAGACATGGGCGGTTACCTTTCTCATATTAATTGTGCAGAAAGAAGGTAATGGATATACAAACAATTGTAGAGGTGACATCTACCAGAGGTGAGTAATGAGATATTCTGTCACATCAAACCTGGTCAGATCAGGCATCCCTCCAAACCTACAGATAATACAATTTCTTTCTCACTGGATGTCAATTAGTTGTGCTGGGAACATTTTCGTCGTTGGTCAGGGGGACAGAATTGGACCTCTGTGATTTAAAAAAAAAAAAAAATATTTGAGAGAGAGAGAGAGCACATACAAGTGGGGAGGGGCAGAGAGAGAGGGAGACCCAGAATCCAAAGCCAGCTCCAGGCTCTGAGCTCTCAGTGCAGAGCTGGATGCGGGGCTCAAACCCACAAGACCTTGAGATCATGAGCTGAGCCAAAGTCTGACTCTTAAACGACTGAGCCAGCCACGTGCCCAGGACCTCTGTGATTTTTAATAATGGGTGTGTGGCCTGATCAAAACAGGAATTTGGCTGGGTGAATGGTGATATAAGTAACAAGATACAGTTTTGCTAGAAAAGGAATTGAAAATCAGGAGCAAATTAGAATGAAACACCAGAAGAAACACTTCTAGAAAGGCTGACTTGTGTTTCTACAAGTGTTGTGGGCAGGGTTACCTGAAACCCTTCTTTTAAGAACACTAAAATGCCCTATCAAGCTTAAACAATCATTCTACGCGCTGAGCTGATCTTGAAAAAGACGCAAGAGAAAATTTCAGAGATCGAACACGAAGGAAGAGCTTGATCCCCGGGACATAAACGCCCGCTGAAGCCACGGGCCGCCCTGGGTGACCTTCCTCTTCAGCTGTGATGGACAAACCAGGAATAAGAGATAACATCCCCAAATCACTCAAAAAAAAAGAGTCGGGACAGACATGCCGGCATAAATCTGTAATCACAAAGGACTGCCCCTTCACATTGCCAGCCCCGTGAAGGTCATATACAAACTTGGTGTCTTTGGGGGAAAGCCCATGAGCTATGGTGTAGCAGGATCCAGGCAATTCCTCTACGTGGTCCTGATGACCCGGGCCAAGGAGAGGTGGTCTGTGTCTGCCGTGGCCAGATTTCCCAAAGAGGGGAGCCCTCCACCATCATGCTCCACATACGTAAGGTATCGGGAAGGCAGGAGAAATCACTATACGCGTGGAAACTCCCGGATGAGAGAGGTGGCCTCCGTGGAAAGGCAGAGCTCCAGGAGCCCAGGCTGCCCCCCGCCCCCAGCACAGAGCCCACTCGGTCTGTTTTTGGGTTTACCTCGCTCAGACGTGCTGAGTGCACCTCCAAAAGCTTGTCAGATGAGCTGACTTCTCCGCTGGTTTCCGAAGGCTCGGAGGAAACGTGGCTCCAGAGATAGCCAAAGCTGTCTCCGTCCAGTGGGGGAGCTGGTCTGTCTCAGCCCCTGCTTCGAAGGGAAAGGAAAAACAGAATAAAGACCTTCTGAATACCTGAATCAATACACCAATTTTCACAAGGTTTGGGGGCCCAGATTCAAACTCGACTGGTTTCAAGTGCCGTAAGCCAAGAATTGAAATTTCGAGGAGGCCACAGATGCCTGGTAGAAACTAGTGAAATTTCTCCAGAGAAACTCACCCTAAATTCATACTCCAGGATTTTCTTGTGCAGGGAAGTTTAGGGAATGTGATTTCACAATCAACCAAAAATCACCAGACACATGAAGAAACACGGGGTCATGTGAGAGAATAAAAAAAATTTGGAATATATCTTTAAATATATCTTTAAAGGTATTTGAAATCTATGTAAATATTTTAAAAATGTTTTTAAATGTTTATTTTCGAAAGAGAGAGAGAAAGAGAGACAGAGCACGAGCAGGGGAGGGGCAGAGAGAGAGGCAGGCACAGAACCCGAAGCAGGCTCCAGGCTCCGAGCTGTCAGCACAGAGCCCGACTCGAGGCTCGAACTCACGAACCACGAGATCATGACCTGAGCTGAAGTCGGACGCTTGACCCAGGTGCCCCTATGTATGTATTTAAAGAAGCAAAAGAGAGGATCAAAAATATAAATAAGAAGCATAGCATCTGACAAAGAACCAAATCTAACCTTTGGTAACCAAGAATATAAAAAATGAAACAAAAAATTTCGGATTAAATGCAGCTAACAAGAGAATTGGTGAGGCTTCTGATTCCAGTAATGAGAGAGTAATTTGGGCCAATTCTGTTAGTAAAGGCAACTTAAAAGGCTGGAAGCTCCATCGTGCCGTATCCTGTGGTAGCACGGCCATCCAACAGCCATCATAAATCCTTCCTTTCTGGAAGCCAGATTGGGAGACAGACAGCAGCAGCTGGTTTACGGAGGTGAGGCAGGCATCCCGAGGGCTACCTCTCGCTGTGCACTTGAACGCCCTCTGATCGGGTCCTGAGGTGATCGAATGAGTGCTCGGCCTTGATTAATGTGTTCTGTGTGGGGTAAGGTGAGTCAATCAGATCTGTGGTGACCAGAAGGGCAGAGCAGGAGGTTAATTACTGTAGCTGCAATAATTTTTCTGGTTCTCTTCTTGGCCTTTTCCCACTTCCATGGAGTTAAATGTACTCATGCGAGTTATTTTGGCCAACGACATAGGAGATGAAGTTATACGGGTTAATTCCGAAGAGAAGCGTTACGAATCAGGAGGCCATTCTCGTGCTCTGACACAGCAACTGGTAACAATCCCAATGGTGACCGCATCCCTACCGTCCAGGGTCTGGGAACGAGGGGACTGGAGCACAGCTCCCAGCCAACCTGCTGTGCACCCCGGTGTAACCAAAACACCCACAAATCTCTGCCATTAAAAGGTACAGAGACATCTATGGTGAAAGATATCAATACATCACTTATCGTAGTTGTTGCAAAAAGGAGGACAAATCTATACGAATATAAAAGACGTGAACAACACAATTAACACACTTGGCCTAACTGACACGTACAGAGTAATGCCCCACTCAACAACCGCAGAATCCTCATTCCTTTCAAGGTGTCCCGGAACATTAACAAAATCTGACCACATACTGTGCCATTATGTAAATCCTAGCAATTGTAAACAGGACTGTGATTACACAAAATGTGTCCTCCAATCACAGTTCATTTATGACAGAAATGAAAGAGAAAAGACACGTAGAAAAAGCCACGTATATTTCGAAAATAAGAAATGACTTAGATCGTCAATTGCCTATATTGGCAAGCTCAGTGATTTGACTCGGTTCTTCCACTGAGAAAAGATGGTAAATCAGATTCCAGAGGACCAGTATCCTATAGAAAACCAAAGTGCGATAACACCCAAAATCAATACCGACAGGATTTCTAAGAAGGTCACGTATGTTTATAAAACTGAACAACATAACAGTAAATAATTATTAGGTTTAAGAGAACATCAAAAAAAGAATCAAGTAATACTTGAACTCAATGATGGTGAAATTGGTACATTTGGAAGTATATGGGACATTAAGGGTAATTTACAACTTCACCTAATTTATAAAAGAAAACACCAGAAAAACAACCAAAAATAAATAAACTGAGCATTCGACTCCAGAACGTGG